ACATTTCAACGGGCTGTAAATTCTATGAAGCAAATTGAGTTTACAGATTAAGTTACAGGGCTGTAAAGAAAGCCAGTTAGACTGCATACCTGTCAGCACCACTGTGTGTTCTCCACCACAAGCAACCTTATTAACCTTTTCCATAATTCCCAGTACAGGCTGTGGGACTCTATTGTTCTTCAGCTGTTCAGGCAATAATCCCAGTTTCCCATTCTCAGGTTCTCCAAAAGTATAGAGCTCACCATCTCCTGTGAAAATACAGAACAGAGCAGGATTTCCAGCATGCACTCAGAAGGAAGACTGGGTTATCAAGACTGCTGCAGACACAAATCAGTAAGAAAGAAAAGTATATGAACAGCACAGGATAATTAAACATATTTGTACAAAGACCAAACAGCTGTGCAAAGCAGTTTGCTTTAATGGGACGAGATGGAGCTAAATTTTAGCCCCTCTCCAAGACCAGAACTGCAAAATTTAGCCTGCAAGGAATCTAGCCAAGGGAAAACAAAAACCAAATACATCCTGCTTCTGAGAGGTTGTAATTCCCTCTGTAATCAGTATTTATGTAAACTGCAGTTGCTTGTAAGAATCTCAATTAAAACAGAAAATCATTTTGCATGGAGTTTTGATGGAAAATCCACACTTTCTTCTTGTAAGATATAGAAAAATGAAAAAAGCAGAGTAAATAACATGAAACTGTGTGTGGCCTGGACAGCAAGGAGAGAGCTATATATCTAACAACAGGAATATAACAGTGCTTCCATAGCAGTAACTTCACCAGAATTAAGTTTTAAAAAATACTGAGAGGTCTTTACAGATCTCTTCCTGTAACTTCTTTCTGATCTTTTACATAATCATACAAGACCCTTCTCATTCACCCAGACTTTTAAGTTCAAAACCTGTTCAATCCCAAATTTGAGTAATTCATTTTACTTTCAAGTTTCTTTTGCTTTATCTTTTCCAACCACTTCCTTTGCTTTTTCACTGCTATGTAAGTCTGAATTATCATTCAAGACAGCATTCTGTATATCCTTCTATCATAGCTAAAAATGGAACATGTAAAATGCACTTTCCATTGCTATATCTACAATTTTTCTACATTTATCTACTTTTTTTACATTTAACTACATTTTACATTTATCTACATTACATCTTTTTTTTTTACAATTTTTCTACTTTCCTGATTTTCTGTGCTAAAAGGCCCCCAACTATTCTAATAGGTCAGAGTGAAGTCTAGGTAGAAAATATTTTCTTACTGCCAGGAAAGCTTCAAGTTAATGGCTGAGTGTTCTCCACTCCTCAAAAGATTATCTGTGGAGGAGTGTCCTCACAGCAAATTGTGGCCCACAATCGGAATTTGTAATTACTTACAAAAAAAAATCATTATACATTATTATGTAAAAAAAAGTTTAGTTTATAATCCCAGCTGGATATAACAAAGCACAAGGATAAACAAAACTCTCACACGGAGCTAGTCCAAGATAAAGAAATGTTTAAATTAGTGTAGGAGCTCTCTGCTAAAGGAAGTTCGAAGAGATAGCTACAGTTACATAATTAACATAATAACAAACCCCAGACATAATACTCCATTATTAAAGCTCAGTCGTCAGAAGCACCCATTTACAATATTTCTGGAAACATCCAGATTTGTACTTCAGTACAAAATGTACTTTTACTTTCAGAGGGATACATACAGTGTTTTCAGAGGGCTACGTCTAGTGTTCACAAATTTACAGCATTTAGAGACATTACTATTGCACGATGCTCAAGTATCTGAGAGATTCTTATTCAAAGGCGATTAATTCCTTGACAATATGAAAGTTGGGTTAACCTTAGAAATGCTTGTCCTTTCCCGCAGACAATGAAAACAGATGAGCTCAAAGAAAGTTTCAAAGCTGAAGCCTTATTCAGGTGTTCAGGATTAGGCATTAGAGAAGTCCATCCCTCTCTCCATTGAACACAGGCAGATCATAAGAAAACAAGTTTATTAATAGTTTTCTGTTAGCCTCTGTGAATATTCCCCCATTTGTTGCCTTTTCCTCGCACTTGTTAGCCACAAATTAAAATTTAGGAATTTAAGGACAATGGCGACAACCAAAAAAATAAGCCTACACAGAAATAGGATATATGGAAGAGGTAAAGTAAACCTATGAATAAAAATGTGAAGTAGAAAAAAATGAAGCTACATATGCATTCTAAAAAACAAATGAGATCAGCCAAATTACCAAAACCAAGTTAATAAAGATTTAAGGGTGTGATTCTAAACTGAAGTTTATTAAAATTTGGGCATACCAAGCCAAGATAGGAAAGGCATTTTATCTTTTTGATTTTTTAATGATGAGAAAGTCAAAACTGGTGTCAGTAAGAAATGTGTCATTTCTGTTGAATCTTCCTGAGCTTTACTCTGGCAACATACTCATTTAAAATTTCCTTTTGCATGAACAAAAACTAAGCAAGAATTTCAGGTTGCAAAACAGACTGCTTTTGCCAGGACTCTCAATCAGAAGGGCTTTGATTCATTCTGAAAACCCTTAAACTACTATGTCTTTTAATAAAGCAGTGCGCCTCCTCCCATCCTCTCAGAGGAAGTAATTCTGGAGCACTCATGCTCATCTGTGATGTATCTTACCTTTGGTACGCACAGTCCACAATAAGCAAATAAAAAAAGGTCTAAATTATTGTCTGTTTTCTTCAAAGAAAGCCTGAGGATAGGTTTTCAATGAGTTTTAACTATAGGGAGAATCTGAAGTATTTCTCTTTTTTATGGTAAAGTTCAGTCGGGAGAAAAAAAAAAAAGATATTACACATTTTTTAAGATACCTCAGCTTCAAATTTATTTAAATGCATTGATTTATAACTTAACTTGAAAATCCTGAAAAAAATGTATGACATACTTAAAGACCAAAAACTGTAAAAAGGACTTTTTCATAAAAGCTAAATTCCTGCTTTAAATGGAAAATGGTTTCTAAGTGAAGTTGCAACCCAGCACTTCCACCAAAGATTTAGAACTGAACCTCAATGGCACAATGTTTATTTGTAAAGTTTACAAGACTTAAGAAATTTAGCCTTTGCCTTAGTCAAAGAAATCTCAGATTATTTTATATGGTTTCTATATTTTCCAAGATCACTTCTACTCACAACAGCACAGATTCTTCAAGTACCATGCTCCTGGGCCACTAAGGCTAGCAACTGGACTTCTTATGTTTATTGAATGCTCTAACTGCACAGAGAGGCAATTGGGGAATGACAATAATACAGTCTTACTCCATGTCAAGCTTCCTGCAAGGTTTCACAGGGCTGAGGCTATCAAAAGTAGCCACACACAATCTATTCACAGAGCTACGTTCTCTTCTGCAAGACAATGAAACAGGAGAGCAGCTGTATCTCCCAGCTATCATCACCAGAGATGTAATCCATCCTCCCAGCTGTCCTTACTTTTTCTGTCATTCTGACATTTTCTTTCCTGCACACACAAGCTACACAAATAATATTATAACACTCATTTACCTTCATATATCTGTGCAGAAATACCTTTGCTGCATTCTTCTACTCTTATTTTCTAAGAGGTGTTTTGCAGTCATTTCAACCTGTCTGTGTTTTTTAAGAAACAGCAAATTACCTCAGCTGCAGAAAAGTATATTTCATTTCATTTCTGAACTATGGACTGTGTTTATGCTTCTCTGTTCGGTTTGATTTTCTGTTTTAACTCTGATCTTTATTCTCATACCTATGTGCAGAAATACTCTGAACAGGCTGATACTTTGCAGTTATTTGCAGCAGCATCAAATTTCTATTCTAAAACAGTAGCCTAATTAACAATGAAAAAATCAACTGCAATGGGAGGCTTTGTACAACCAAAACATTCCATTGACAAAAAAGATATTTTACTAGGGATTCCTAGTGAAAAGAAAGAGAAAAATCCCACAACAAAAAGAGCCCTGTATTTTTCAGAAGGTAAGTATTGTTTTAATACTCTTGGGTCTGCCATATATTTCTAGAAACAAGCTTATAAACCACTAAAAGCACTTGGGAGTTAACTACTTACGCAGTTCTCTTTGAAGAGACCAGCACTTCTTTTTAGAACACTACTGCACTGCAAATATTAATCCAATCACAATCTAATTAAGAGGATTAGAGATTCAAATGGCCAAGCTTCCACTGACTTCCCAAACTACTCAAGTTTATTACATTTTTTCAACTTAATAATCCAGCTAACAAAGATAAACCCATTTATTAAAGCATTTTTTGAATACATTACACATCCCTTTAAGGGAAATCGTAGTCCAAAAACTATGAAGAATAGCTATCAAGCATAAAAAGAATCCACTCAAACCCAGATAAATTTTGAGTACAGTATGCATGCAGCACACCTGCATTTTAAGGACATTCTTTTCACATTGGAATCTGGTTATTTCATTTTCTCCTTTCATATGAGTCATATTCTCATGTACTGAAATTCTGAGCACGGAAGTGTTTGTGAAATGGACGATCTCTACATTAAAAAAAGGAATTCAAGGAACTTGGCGAAGCGCTCTATGAAAAGATATCTTCTCAGTGAGAATCTATCTTTACCTTGCTTACAGCAAAAGTTCAGGCAGGGGAAACACCAAAAGTGGTCTAGTATATTCAATTCCTTTCTGGCTTCACGAATGTAATTCTACCGCAGACGCCAGATTATTGGTTAGATACTTTGGGTTTTCCTGCCCTCCATCTCCTCCAGTGGACAAATGAGCTATATACGCTTGCCAAGCTTAATACTTTCGGAAAAATTGTTCCCCCTTGGGTGAATGTGGTCAAAGAGTAGTCAAGTAAAGATCTCTATATGGGCTCAAAATTGTTCCTACACTCTTTAAGCTCTTTCCTTCTCTGTTGCTTTGTTTGAGACATATCTCTAATACGGGGATCTAACATCCCAAGTCTGCAAAAAGAAAGGAAAGCAAACATACTGGGAACAAGCCTTTAAGAGGAAACTATAAACTTCTTTCCAGTGGAACTCTGAAGAGTACAAAGTGAGAGGAAAGGAAAGGAAACAATCGTCTTTCAAACATGAAGTGAGTACCCAGACCAGCCTCCTAATTTGCATATGGAAATGAGCTAGCCACTGCCTATGCTCGTGCCTAATCTCTATTTCAGAAGTGTTTTTTATTAAAAATAATTCAAGATATATTCTGTTCCTCTATCGTACAACTACTTTTGGTGTCAGTGGGGCCCACGTGTACCTGGTACAATACAAGTGACTCTGACATGTTTAGTAGTTGAATTATCATCTGCAAAGAAGGTGTTCTAAAAAGCAAAAGTAAGAAAAGTGACAAATCATCTTTCTGGAACTACTAGATTTGAGAAACTCTGGGGGTGGGGGGAGAGTTGTAGAACTGAAGTACAAATTCAGAGGATTGAATGCTGTACCATTTCCATAAAACATGCTTTTATCTACTAAAGGTTTGTGTCAGGGTTCCACTCTACTTTTCCTTGACATTGTACTTGGCTTTATAGAAGTTAAACACCTTAAAGCCAAATGCCTACTAAAAATATTGCATAAAACCAGTTGCTTCAAAGATCTAACAACTTTAGCTTAAAAATAAAAATGCTGGAATCCATACTTCTCCACTTTTTCTCTCACTAGTCTCTTATTAATGAACATCCTGCCCTGGAGAGGGCACTCTGTGACCACACTATGTATTCTAGTATCCTCATTAACCACCTTTTAGTTTTAACCCAGGTATGCTTGTTATTCTAGCAGTTTGCTTAGCCAGTAAACAACTTATGTCAAACGTAAATGTATTAAGAAAGGGAACCATATGGTGCCAAGCTCATAGGTTCAGTGTGGCAACATGTATCAAGTCCTACATCTTGCAACTATGTATTAAGGACAGATTATTATTTGATGCTTTTTTATATACAAGTCATGTTTAAAAGTCAAAATGTAGTAATTCTATAGTATTCTAATAACTGGTAAGTTACAGGTGGTGAAAGCTTTCTATTAGAAGAGTTTCTCCCGTTTCTTTGCAAAACCTAAAAAAGTTTCTCTGCTATACCTTGTTGATGTTGAGAGAATTAATACAGATTATACACTTACTTGAATAATTCAAATTTTATTTCTGGAAATACAGAAGCACTTTCTTCTCCAGATATTTCCTCCAAAAGTATATATTAAAATTACACTAATCACTTTAAGTTCTAGTATACAAGACAAAACCATACAATAAAAATGCATGGAGAACTCTTTGTGCTAGGCAAACTTTTAAACATACTTCAAGGCATAATTCAATGACTAAATGGCAATTTGAGGTAAAAAACTCCTATCCCTGCAATATGAATATTTCAAATACTCCTTAATTATCTAGTTTGCTATATTCTACCACCCTCAGAAGCAGATTACTGAGGATAAGAACCACTGTTCTGAGTCAGTCTAGCAAGTTCTACAGGTAAGTGTTTTCCATAAGTGAAGAAAGAATCCTAATAATACTAAAAGAATGATCTTTTTTTTTTTTTAAGCAAAATCTTTTAACAGCATAGTGCCTTGACTTCCTTCGTAACAGGGCTGTAAGAAAAATAAAGTAACATTTGTACTGAAACGGACTCACCTTGCAGAACTTCAAAATTCATAACTTAATGGCTAACTTAACAGCTAAAATAATGGGTGATTATGGTACACTTAGATTAAATGCATAAGTTTTGTTTATAAACACTGTCTGGATATACACTGATGCTAGTACAACAGAAGATCATTTCAGTAAAAGTACCTGGATGTCCAACACTAAATTTTTGTCGTAGTTAAATTATCAGTCAAATAAAACTGTCAGCAAGTGCCTATATGAAAACAATCAAAAAATATTTCTCCTTTCAGCACAAAAGAGGTCATCTTTGGTGTCAGTAGTTTCAGCAAGATAGACTGAAGCCAAATTTGTGCAGAATTTGCAGATACTACAGCCGAAAATTAAGATTTTCCATCTCACACCCAGACCTGTTTAAACAGTAGCAGGTTCAACAATTCTCCATTTTCACAGGTGATAACCAGTTCATCTTCCTATTAATATTTTAAGAGTCTCCATGTCTCTTAGGCAGCTGCTACTCTAATCCTTTTTTCTCATTCCCCTCCATTAAAAGTTTCCACTTCCTTAGAGCATCTGGCACACACTGTTCTCTCCTTGCTCTTAGATGCTCGTCAACCCTTCTTCTAATGAGAACTTTTGTCACATCCCACTGCAGTCTTGTCAGATTTTCAGCTCTTGGCTCTAAGGCAGAAATACACACCTCCTTACTATATCATTGAAGTAAGAATCTTCCTTTTTTTTTTTTCCCCCATTTATTTCAAGTTCAGGAAGCTGTAGATTTCCTAACAGGTGCTGAGCTCCTGATTGGTCAGAGGTATTTTGTTCATCTACTATAATCGAACATCTGTAATAAAAGTTGCACACTACCAATATAACACCTAATTAAGTATTTGTCCACCACAGGAAGCCCTCGTTGTGTTAATAGCATATTCTCAGGGAGCTGTATAGATATTGTATGTGTGTCATGGGTTAAGCCGCTCTGGCAACCGAACCCCACACAGAGCCGGTCACTCACCCTCCCCCAGCCCCAGGGATGAGGGAGAGAATTAAAGGAGAAACGGGAAACCTGTGGGTTGAGATAAGAACAATTTAATACAGATGATTTAATACACAGTGTAGATGCTCACCACCCCCTCTTATGCAAAGCCCGTCTCGTCCTGAAGCTGCAATTCTGGACGAACACGAGGCCCCAAAATAGAGAGGGGCAGAGAGAGAGAGAGAGTACTCCGAGAGTGGGAGTACTGGGAGAGAGAGGAAGAAAAAAGGCAACAGAGCAAAAGCGCAGAAGCGCAAAAGAGCAGAAGCGGCAAAAGAGCCAAAGCGCAAAAGCCCTCCTGTCCGGCTGACCCTCACTTTTATACTGGGCATGATGCTGCACGATATGGGATACTAATTGGCCAGTTTGGCCCTCAATCTTAAGTTCCACCACAAATCACAAGGGGAATCGTGGCCCCCTTGTCCCGGCTATGCTCCCCCCTTGTCCCGCCGTGCTTCTGCACTCCGGCCGAACACGGCACACTGAAAAGTCCTTGGAGTTTCACTTCCAACCACAAACATCAGCTTGCTATCAACATCCTTCTCAGAGAGAGCCTCTGGGTAAAACCAAAACACGGAGCTCTTCTAGCTGCTAAAAAGAAGTTAGAGCTAACTCTGTCCCAGCTAAAACCAGGACAACGTGGAAAAGTAACATTTATTAAGTAACCTAAGAAAAGTATCTGATGGAACAGTTCTTGGGTATCCATTAAAGGCTTTACAACTATTGATCCTTTGAAATCTTTAATTACTCTGAGGGGACTAAACTGTAAAGCTTAATAAAGTAAATCTATACGGCTGAGAGGAATTCATGGCTGCTCATATATAATACCACCGGTACTGACTGATAAATTTACCCGTATTGGCATTATTAAAAAATGAGTGGCATCATTACTTTGGAAACCAACAGAGAGGTGGAAAGAGAGAGGTGGAAAGCAACAGAAAGGTGGGTTGGTTTGGAGATCCGACAGCGACTCATTGCAGTGTATGCTTCTCCTCATATTGTATACTGCCTGGTTAACTGACCTCAAATCTTAAAATTTAAGACATAACATTGAACTTTGACAACAATCTTGCACTGCTAACAAATGAGATTAATTTTTCCTCAAAACATAGTAAGTCTATTCAATATTTATATTTCTAGAGAAGATGAAGATTATTATTTTATCATCACAAAAATTAATAATCTCAAGAAAAGTTGGAATTATTCAAACTGTAATATTAACCAACAACATTTGTTATAACCTTCAAGTGTGGCAAGATAGTCATTCTTTCTAACATACTTTTGCACAACAATGTGTAAATGCAGAAAATTAACTGCAGTTTTTTCTCACAGCGTTGTTAATTCAACAATAATATACAATTATATAGTAGATTACATACAAGTTAAACAAATAAATCAATTAGAATCACATTTTGAAGAACCTGCCTCTGGTAAAATCTCCCAATGTGAAACAAAACTACATAGATGACTTTCTGCCACATGGCAGTTTTTAACAAGTATGGCATATCTAGTTTCAGAAGTAATGAATGCCTCATTAGCAACCTTTACAAAGACAATCTGAGAACCACTGACTTGTCTCCAACTAACTGCTAGTCCCATTCTCTTACCTGTTATCAAGGCAGAGTGATAATATCCACAGGATACAGAGGAAATAGGTTTTCCAACATCGACTTGACAAGGGACACTGACACAGGCTTCCTGAGCCAAGCCAATCTGACCTTCTGAATTGTCACCCCACACAAAAAGCTGCCCATCCTCTAAAATAAAGACACAGATAGTTAATAGATATTGAACCAAAACTAATAAAAAGTTAATCTACCCATTTAAGAGCATTTCATAAACTCTGTGTATGATACTACTAAATGTAATGATCTCAGGGTCATAAAATGGTATTTAGCACAACGCAACAAAACAGTCTGAAGTAAGAGGGTATCCCTTAAGCTTTTCAAAAGTGACACAGAACGTTTAGTCATCAACTATGATGTCAGACCATAAATAGCAACAGGAAAAGTACTATGTAAAAACATCCCTTCAAAAAGAGGAAGATTGAGCGTATAAGACAATTCAGTTGCCAGAGGTCAGTATGAAAATTTTACAGTGAATTTAAAGCATCTTCTAATTTCTAGTAGCAAGTCACCACTTTCTCATTCTTCCAAACTTATTCTCTGTTCTGACTTTGGTGCACATGCCACTTATTCTTGCCTTATATTTCTGTTCTCTTTACACGTGATTATATTGCCCAGCTTCATTTTGTTTTCCTTAAACTGTCACAATAGCTGTTCCAGGTTTATTAAGACCAGCCTCTGTTGACACAAAGACCAATGGCAGCAGCAAAAAATAAAAGAAGGTAGTGAACAACATGAAAAATCTCTAGCTTTTTCTAGAAGAGATGTCTTCTCTATGCGTATTTCTTATTGGTAGAAAATGAGTTGTGAATAAAAAACCATACCATCTACAGTGCTACTGAGATGCTGTTGGGAACTAAAATCATTCAAAGTTGACTTACAAATCTCAGGAGAACGTTAGTAATTGTCACAAAAAATTACAAACCAAACGAGCACGCTAGCATCTCTCACACATTCTTACGCTCTGTGTCACGTTCTGAAATGACAGCCTCAATAACTTATCCTAAACATGTACAGAAACAGCTACTTTATAGCAAAACTTGAGAATTTACATTGTAGGGTAATAAAGGACCAATCACCCAACGGCTGAAAGTATTACAACTGTGTGGACTTTGTCATGTTGCAATTGTATAATTTTGCCATCAGGGAATGAGCCCATAGGTTAGACCTCTCTCAGAATTACTAATGACACAGCTGTGTAGCCTGTACCAGCAGACCAAAACAGTTGCAGTAAGAAATGGAATTAGAGAAACTTAGTTTTCCCAAGATTCATGTTTTGTAGCTTGCTTCCCTGAAAATGAACTGAAGATTTTTTCCCATTTTGAGGGTATTCATATCATCTCTCCTTTGTAAGGATTCCTACTAAAGCAGTACAGGTTGAGCTCCCATTGCAGGCCATTGCTCATGGAAAAGGTCTACTTTCACAAAAATTGTAGGAAGTTAATGAGACTGCCACACCTTACCAGACTGTGTTGAAATGAGACATCAAAAAATGACTATGGTTACTAGAGAGAGAAGACAGGGTGACACAGAAAATACACCCACATACGCAGACAGAATGCTGGAATAAATGCTTCCCTGGAACACCACGCTGGACACACATAAATAGATTTTATTAGCGGTTGCTCTTACCAGTTACTGCTGCTGAGGTGTATGATCCAGCTGCTAGCTGTTTGATCTTGTGCTGGTTGGTAAAAAAACTAATTAAATGAAATGTGGTCCTTTCCTCTGTGTCACCTAATCCCAACTGACCTTCACTGTTACCTCCAGCAGCATACACATTTCCTTTTTCTGCATACAGAAAAGCACATGTAATACATAGAATGAAGACATTCTCATCAGTGGTAAAAAGTCAGAGAAACTGGAGCACGTAATTTAATTTTCAATGGAAAAACACTATAGAAAAGTCGGGGTCTGCTGCCCTGAAATATTCCCGAGTTGACATTAGCAGTTTCTGTTGTAGCTAGCAAGAAGGCTTTCCTGCATACGCTTGGCTCGGAACTTTCTAAGGGCCTTATATGTACTTCGACTGACTGCGTTTCCCACCATTCTGGAGACTGATCTAAAAACTAATTACAATTTGAAGCTCTGCAAAAGTCCGGAGAAAATGACTACTAGTAGCTCTGGCAGCCAAAAGCAGCTCCTTCCCCAAACAACGTATGTTTTAAGATAAAGCAGGAGGAAAATGGTGAATGATGTCGCAAGCAAAAAAACTGATGTCATATTAGTACATAAATTTGAGAGATGCATAACCCGATAGTTTTAAGTACTGTGAATGAAATATACTTTTGCTTAGGTTTTCATTAGAAATATTTTACTCGTTTAAATATTTAAATCGCCTTCAATTGAATTAACTAGGTCTTTATTTTGTTTTAAAATTGAAGTTAAAGCTGATGATTGATACCTTCAACTTCAGAGAACTTTAAGATTTATATTTTTAATTTTATATGTTTTATATCCAAAGTGCTCATCTATGATGAAAAAGATAAGGCCCATTAATAACACAAATCCAGACACAAATGTGAAAAGCAACCGACATACAATTTATAAATGGTCCTAGCTATATAAATGGCCACAAATTATCTAGCCAGCGTGTACACTAAAAGTGACTAATATTTACCCTGTGCAGTCTTGCATCCTCAACTGTTATTAAAATGTTCTGTTTTATTCTAACAGTCTTATTTACAGTGCTCAGAGTCTCCACATATATAAACCTTCCAATAATCAAACAATCCTCTTTATAACATTACTGCAAGCGAAAGGATTGCAACCACAAAAATGAATATTCCATTACATAAATTTTAGAAGCATGACAAGAATTTGCATCAATTCTCTGTATACTGCCTCTCTAAAAATTTATTTTTTAGTTTAAATTTACAGTTTATTTATTTATAGCTTAATAAAACAACTTGTCATTGAAATAGCAGACTACCTTGTCTAACCAAAATGCAACAACATTTGAAGACTCAAAAACATTCAGTTCTACTATATTTACTCAAATATATAACTTCACACTAATAAAGATAAAGTACTTGTCAAAGGTAAATTTGAGTACAGATATATAAGAAATACTTATATACCTTCACAAGGCTTACAGGAAATGTTGATAATTGCTAACCACACCTCAAATACCAGCAAGAAATTTTTTTATCTGTCCATTGCTAGCAAACTCCTACAGAATATTGCTTTATAAATGCATTGGCTCAGAATAAATCGAGCATTCAAAGAACTGAATATCAAAGCCCCAAGTTTTATCAGTCCCATTTTCATTTATTTTTCCTTCCTCAACTCTCCTGGGATTCCTAATGTAATTTTGCATGAAAGCAAAGGAAACAATCTATCTTTAATATGTATATAATATAGGTTACATACCTGTGTAAACTAAAGTGTGGTTTCTTCCACAAACAGCAAGTTTTGTTTTTTCTGGTTTTAAAGCTATGAATTAAAGCCAAAGCAGGGGGAAATGTTATAAACAAGCTGATAGTTGGTTCAACAACAAAATGTTCTATGCTCTAGAGGGAGCTCTGATTTTTTTCATGTTTTTACCAACAGAATAATTACAAGATTCGTTGCCCATCTGAACCTAGCACATGACTTATTAAATCAGAATTCCCTCAAGACAATAAAACAGATATAGATCTTAAAAACTTAGAGCTGCTACTCAGGTTAACTTTGTGTTGGCTCCTTCATCCCAATGCCACATTCCCCAGAATTTACCATTCATGGGACAATGCTGCAAAGAACATATCAAGCTGCAGGACAAAATGCACGCTTAAAGCTGCCTTCAGTTTTCAATAACAGCACTACTCGTAACTCCCTCTTAGGCTTTTCCCCCTATCTTGAATCTTTAAAACCATACCATTCTTTTGCCTTATCATCCCTACCTTCCTCTGTTATGCACAGCTACTTTTTTTTTGCCAGACTTTTGCTCTGCACTGCCCTCTTACGGATCCCAAACTCAACTGCTAAGGACATTCCCATTTGGACTATCGCCTAAAATTTTGCATATACAATCCTGTTTCAGCTTCAGCTCAGTCACACCCACCCATTGCATGTATTTCTCTGTAGTCTGGTCACGGTGAAAGACTGGGAATGTACACGAGAGGAGTCAAGAGTTATTTTGGTGGGAAAGAGAGAAAACAGAGGTGCTTTTTCTCCCGTGGCAAGCACACTCCATTTCAGAAACAGAGGGAAAAAGTCTCACTGACTTTTCCATCCTCTCTCCAATTACTGATCGTTGCCAACAATTTCTCTTCTCTCAGTCATGTCCATGTGCTCCATATAGCGCTTTTAAACCAGCATTATTTTTACATAATGTATCTTTAATTGCTTTTCCACTGCACTAGTCCATGATAAAGCCATCTCTTTCACAAATCCTTTTTCAGTCCTTCCAAATCAACTTTCATCAGCTCCGTAACAGTCAGATTAAAGTCCTTTCTATCAAGTCACCAAATAAATCCATCTACTTAAGCATGAACTGTCTCTGGACCATTGCACAGACACAAATATAAATTGTCCAAATTCGGATTCCTGCCTATCCTATCCAAAATCTACCACTACCACCAGGCTGGAACACTTCCAGTGTTGGCTTCTTCCTACAATCTTAATTTGCTGCTTTATATCCCAAAACTCTGCCTCCAACTTCAGAGATGATCTTAATCAGCTCTTCAGAAGCCTGTGCTCCCTAACCTTCCTCCCACCTAGGCTAATCAAAGGTATTTGATGAGCCATGCTATATTTATAACATTGCTGGCAATTTTTCATAACCAATTTCATCAGTCGCTAGTCAAGTCCCAGAAGATATTTTCTCAGAAAACACGCAGCTGCAACCGTTTGGCCCCAAGCAGAAACCGAAATGTGTCCTTGCAAGCCCATTCCCAAAGCCAAGTGATAACTGAAAGCTAGTGAGAAAAGGTCCAGGACTTTCTCCTGCTGTCTACTGCCAAGAGAAGAAAGGTACCCTCCCTGAGACTTTTTCCAATAGATACCAGGTCTGGTTTGAATTGCTGTCATCTTCTTTTCGTCTTTTATTCTCCATTGCAATTTGACAGTAAAAACAACACCTGACAACCAATCCGTTTAAGCCAAGGTAAGAACCAATCTCTCACATGGCTGGCAGAAGATGTGAACCTAAGAGTAGCTGAATTCTCCCTCTTAAGTAAAATAGAGAGAGGAGCAGATAAAGGACAGTAAAATAAACTGAATCAGGAAGAAAAGAGTTTGAACAAGCAGGATAATTTGTTTCTAACAATAAGCTAACAGATCAATCTGCTGGCAGAAAGGATGAGGATAAATATTTAATGGTGAAAAGAAATGTGTTAATGGGATAGAACTGACTTGGCATAAGTAAGGGTATAGGGAAAAAGTATTGACTTAGTTTTGTTTGACAAGATAAAACTGGCTAGGAAAGATCAAGAAAATAACTGCAATGAAAACATATTTTACAACACATGAAAGAATATAGGCATTTATTTTACTGCTTCACACAAATATATTAACATTTATGCCCCCTCAGGCACTGCTTATACTTGCTAGAAATGTAGCAGTACTTGTAGAAAGCTTCTAATAGATTTTTTCATTTATGAAGGTGCTAAGACGAAAGTGATATGAAGGTTACACAGTGCTGTTGGAACTTTGATTTCTAATGCACAGACAACACTGTAGAGACCAAGCATCTGATTAAGGTCTTTGCAGTCACAAGATGTGGTTTGACAGAAAAGGCAAATGCTGCATAAAATGAGAGCCCTCAAAAAACACAGGATCCTCTGTATCTGAAGTAATCTTCAGATGCAAAAGGATCCAGAATCTGGAACTAATGGAAAATCAATCAGAGATCCTTTTAAGCTGCTTTTATGAGGTTGTGTAGTAATATGCTACACATGATGAGTAAAGAAGGCAGAATCAGTTATTTTGGAATTGCATCTTACAAAGCACCTTTTCACAAGGATCTCCTTTCAAAAAAAAAAAAAAAAAGAAAAAGTAAACAAACCTTTAACACATGTTGGTTTGCTGACAGTGTTCTTTGATCCTAGTCCTAACTGGCCCCAGTTGTTACTGCCGAACATGTATAGTTTACCATTCCCTGAAAAAAAAACCACAGTCAGAATCCATACAAGTGTCTGAATACCTCATACGAGACAAGACGGTCATTCACACATCATGCTACTTATTACTTGATTTTTAATGTAAGGCTTAAGATTAGGCAATTCAATAGTTAAGTGTAAACAATAATTAATATTCTTGCAATTTTTCTGTACCAAAGTAGTAATTGCATTGTTCAAGTAACAAATTCCCAGCCAGAAGAAGGGACAAAAAGCAGAACAAACATCCTCTCCTTTAATTACAGCACAAATAAAGTGCTCTTCAGAAAATAAAGTGTTGCACCCTTGGACAGACCCTGCAGTTCGGAAACCACAGTATCTACAGGCCTACTTATAAAATAACAGCACATTTAACTGAGCATCCACATCTTTTACCCCAAAGACAGGAATGAACAACGCAGCTGTATGATTAATATAAACATAAATTTGCAATATTCAGCTTATTTTATTGTTTAGGGGAGGCTATTTCTTTTACTGCTAAATGTCTTCTCTTAAAATGAATTACAAATTTGCACTTCTACAGAATACGGTTCGTGATAAATTTTCAAATGTGTTCACAAATTGTATCGATATGTCACTTTGCATATAAAGAAGGATTGCGCAAAACCACCACATAGTCAGGGAGTTTCGTAAACCTAAACGCAAACATTAGATTACAAATTGTCAACAGAAGCAATGCTAGAATCGTATTTCAGGAACTGGTATGACTGAACATGCAGGTTTGACCACTACAAACAATGAACTGTTGTGATTCCAAATATCTAGTGGTTTTTTAAGAGGATGGTATATGAACAGATGAAACTTTTGTCATCGGGTATGCAAATCAGACAGACAAAACTGACGACTGACGATACCTTAAAATGAACAAATTTCATTTCATTTCATTTTTCAAACTGTCAACTTCTGTAAAGCTGTGAAGTTCACACCCAAAGATAACACCCTAGTTCCAACAGAAATCTTTGCAAAACAATAGAAACTGATTTTAAAAAAAAAAAAACGAACACCTTTACAACTGTTAAAAGGAGTTTGTTTACTTTTGATTAAGGTCTGCAGAGCTTTGTGAGTTAGACTTCATCACAAGGCTGTCATGTAAATAAACTTTGTCACCCTAGTCATCAACAGTTATCACATGACAGCAACACATAAAAGCAATTCCACATCATAAAGCCAAAATATTATGGCTGTTTGTACTTCAGTAGTGTTCCCAGTTAAGGTTCTGAATGTGATTTACAGAGGCTTTGAAACATAATATTGAGGTGTTTAAAATATAACAAAAATACTTACTCTGTTAAAAAAATCCATTTATTTTCTTAAATATAACCACATAGTTAAAAAAAACCACAAAAACAAACAAACCACCATCAACTAACAACTAGTATTGAAAGTCCCAAACAAATTGTTAGATTTGACAATTTTTGGAACATATGGCTATGTATCAATATCATGTCTTTCCCAGAAAGTTGTAAGGGAAGAAAGTCTGAGGTCAAGTCTATACTTATGATGTTTTACTAATAGCATTTGTATCATCATCCCAATTTTGATAATGCAATCACATCAAAACACACACAGACCTGTCTGTCATCGAGAGCAAAACGCACCTCAATAGAAAGAATTTTTATTAGTAAATGGCATCCTATATTGGTATATGCTTCCTGTATCCTTGGTTTACACTTTTTAACTGCCTTTACAAGACAGTAGTACTCCTGTGAGAATATGATGCCAAGCTGCCGTAATTAAATTTCAGTACATTCTCTTTTATCCATTCAAAACTCTGACAGGTCACGCTTTTCATCCCATAATCTGCTGTTTCTTATAGCAGCCTTTACATTCTCAGGCATTGCCTTGTAAGTCAAGGAGCTTAACAGATGAGAGGAATTTTTTAAAATTCTTTTACAACCGAGTGACAGTCTTTTGTAATTTCAGGCTTCCAACACTCAGCAGTGTAACACAAAGTAAGAAAACTGGGAAGCAGGTAATTCAGATAGTGAACGAAAACTAACAGGCACTACAGAGGAACATAAACAAATGCCTGTAATGAAGCAACATTTCTGAGCCTGTACAGCAAATCAGGTTTTGGAACAGATATGATGCAATCTAAGCTGTCCAGGAGCCATAACAAAATCCTGCATGCCAAAAGCTCTATTTTCACAATCGCATACCAAGATAACTCCAGTCATCACCACAGACGCACTGAAGGGAGAACTAAGTCAACAGCAAACAAATAGGCAAGGATCATATTTCAAAACTTTGCAAACTCGGGGGTTTTTTGGTGCTGAAATAGAGAGACCGCGGCCATCTGCCATCTGGAATGGCTGGCAGAAGACAGGTCCGGTAGAGTAAGATTATGACTGCGGGCAACAGAAGGGAAACAACAGGATATGAAGAAAGGGACTACTCAGACTATTCTGGTAATGAAAACATACTTCCTACACCAGTTTCCCCCTTCATCCTGATGCAAGACTGGAGTATTTCTCAAAAGTATGCATGCATTGGCTTATCACTGGCAGATCTTTCACCAACATTAATTCAGGACTACTAGGGAAGCCACAGGATGTTTACATCTTTAGGAACAGAGATTTTGTGAGAGACTTCAGGAAGAGGGTGTCTCCTAACACTGTACGTTTCTCATAGGAATAGCTGCTATCACAACTGTGATTCCTGGGAACTCCATCTGTCATGTGATCCCCCAGTTCATTAAGTGCTACTAAAGACATTCATTCAGCAGCTGGGAAATACCAGTTGAAATCTTCAACATGCTTCATGATCATAGCAGGCAGTCAAGTATTCCTCTCATCCATGTTTAAAGGTAGGTTTTACATATTCCCCTCCTTGCTTTCTAAATCGTATTAGTGTGGAAAGGAAATTATATGGGGAGACAATGTACAGTCTTTGAGCATTTATTACAAGATTCTATTGAGAAGCTACATCTGAAGAAAACATAAAATGTAATATTTTGGACAGAGTATCCAGTGCTTTCAGTGCTTTCTAAGCACTTCTTACTTCTTTCTAAAGAAGACAATCACTTAAAAAGTTCCTGCTTGAACATTTTAATGAAGATTGTGGTAAAGGTAGAGAGCAAATGAATAAAGAAATACAAATTTAGATCCCAAACTCCAAAACTGGAGAAGGAAATGTTTCTCCAACTAGCTCAGCAAACCAACTCAAAAGTCAGCAAGTAACTATCACTGATCCTTTCTATTCCAACATATAGCCATAGTATGTAAATAAAATTTTGGACTTCAACTCCTGACCTAGAAAGCCAAAGAACAGTTTTTTTATATTTACTTTACACTTTTCTTCCTAAAAGTCATATGGGAATATTGATGCTGGATTAGATGAAAGAAGTATTTGAAAATTTCTGAATATTTTGTTTGAATGCTAAATATTAGTTGCTGTACATTTTCTTCACTTGCATTCAGTCAAGATTCAGTGCAAGACGTAGCTGTCTCTCCTGCTCAACACCAGCTTTAAGGAATGTTTTGTTTCAGTTTGGGTGATTGTTTTACTTATGACCATTAAGACATGTTAGTGTAAAACTGATATATTTCTATTACATTTGAATCTACCTCATATTGCCACTGTCCCCTATTTACATAGGTCCCACTACCTCTTTCAGGGGGTGGGAGAAGAGAAAAAAAAAAAAAAAAAAGGAGGGGAGACTTTTGTGACCTGTAAATAAAGACTGAAAATAAAATGAAGCATGCACTAACACACACCTGCTTGAGATACTTTTCCTCCTCAGTGGTGTTTGTCTTTTATCTCTTCCAGGTCAGGTTCAACTGGATTTCAAGAAGCTCCTGGTTTCCCACAATGCCTGTACCCTTCTCAGTAAACTTGTTATCCACATGCACTTCTGGAGCTTTTATTCCAGGTGTTACTGCAATTCAGTGTCATTCACCAAGGGCTGCAATTCCACTGTATCATCCAATTCCATCTAACAGCAGAAACGCGAGGTGCACACGGGCATGCATGGGTGTGAAGAACAAATGAGGGACAAAGGTCTTCCGTCTCCCTTCTTCACTTTTTTGTACGACTCTTGCAGTTTCCCTACCTTTGCTCGTCGTTGATCAGTACTTCACCCTCACTTTTGCCTCTACTTTACAACGTCCCAAAAAAGCTTTTGGTATCAAATAAATTTTGTACTCTTGCTTCTACAGTTCCTTCTCCTCAAAAGCTTTGAGAAAATAATATCTGATTATCTAGAAGTTTCCCTGGTGATGTATCTGCACACTATAACAGCAAGGGCGAGCTACAGAGACATTTTTGAAACGCTATATATATTAAAATAATCAGGATAAGGGGAGATAGTAGAGAAATGGTGCTGCATGCACACCTGTCCAAGTTGACTTCTTCAAAAGCTTTATCTATGGGGCCACTATTACAGTGACATGGAAATTAGGGGATTGTTGCTGATCAGGGTAACAGTGCTGGCACAGGCACATGCTAGGGGAACTCAAGGAGGCAATTTAAATTCACTAGTCTAAACTGAGAATTATACTAGTGTTATTTCGAATTGGGTGTGAGCATATGAAAGGAAATAAAAAAAAAATATTCAAAAGGAAAATTTTACAGTGCCCCAGGTTATATTCTGATTAATTTTATGCAACAGGCAATTTAATAGAACTGGTTCAATCTAAGAAAAAGTGTCAAGTTTTGTTCAAAATAAACTATTCATGGATAATTCATCCTCTATGAAGTTAGGCTTAAAAAATTAATTGTATAATTTCACCTCAAAATGTTCTGCAGTCCATGAAATCTGTAAGCTTTTTTCATCATGCCTAGAATAGTTCATTCTAAAAATCCAGCATCTTCAACTGTGCTTGGGGACATAGCAAGAAACCCTCAACAGATGATCTAATGAGTAATGACCAGTTGGACATTGACAAGAAATAAATACATTCCAATAAGAAAAGTCCTGAAAACATGCATATAAATTTTGTAACAACAAAGCCTTATTATCTATCAGCAGTTGTTGTCAAAACAATCAACACGCATGCTCATCAACAAACAAGTAGTCTCTTCCACATAAAATAAATTGAACAAATTCTTCAATGAGTACTGTTTCCATAATTTCAAAGAAATGAAAATAAACATTAATACTGCTCGTTCTATTGCATCTGAGCTTCTTTCAATGCTTTTGCAATTTATTTCTGATTTTAGTAGGATCCTCTAAAGTTTTTTTGAGTTGCTCTTTCAAGGGTTATTTTCAGCTGACAGTTAACAGTAATCCAAATCTTCATTTCAGAGACACAATTTCATCTGTTGCTTCAGGTAAATTCCTAGTGAACTTGTTGACTGTGTTCAACAGATACTGTTTACTTCCACAATACAAAACTCTAAGATTGCCTAATAAATACTGTTAGATTCACAAGAAACGTTCAAGTTGAACAAAGTCATGCTTACTTTAAATCCTGTGTGATACATTCAGTTATTACAGATTCCCTCATGACAGTTCTTGGGCATGTGTTGTGAAAACCTTCAGTGACCTCGCATTAATTTCAAAGGCATCCGAGAGTTCCCACAGAACAGTCTTCTCTCCATTCCATAATCTCATTTGATATATTACCTCAGGATTCAAATAAGACTCATAACTTTCCAAGCAGTCCAACTACATAACGTTTTGTCATATAGTCCATTTCCAATACTGACCTGTAACAATAGCGGTATGTTCATCTCCACATGATATAAGCACAGGCTTGTCATTTTTGAACCAGAACTTGCTAGGAATATCTTCTGCAAATTTGCTTTTTCCAAATGTGAAAACAGCACCTGATTCTAAAACACAAAAACATAACATCAATTTTTTAATGAAAACCAACTTTGCCTCATACATTCTGAAACAGTCATTTCCTATCAATTCAATTGCACATTTTAGTTTCCTATCTTTTTCTTTTTTAAAAAATGGCTGAAGCATTTTCTTCTATTCTGTTTCATCAAGACTACTTCATTTTCAGGCTCACATTTTAGTCCTTCTGATTCTTCTTCGCCCCCATGAATTTCCTAATAGAATAGGTATTGTTGCTGGAATATTGTGTTCTGAGGATACAATAATTTATTTTAAAGTACACTAACGTACTTCTTCACTACCCTCTCAGAAACTACTAGGTGTGTAAAAGAAAGAATAAAGAACTCTGAAAAACTGCCCGCAGAAAGTAAAATAAAAAGCTCATCCTGAAAGCAGGTCGAGACAAAGAGTTCTCACTTACGTTTACACTTGGATTCAAACAGGTTTTCCAAATTGGATTAGAGAGAGACACACACTGTAAAGAGGTGACAGGCTCCAAACGGACCACTCTTCCTCATCCATCTGAAAAGGTACATGTGCTCCAAAAATGGCCCCCTAAAATCAAAACTCTCAGCCTTCGAAACATGGGTTGGCACAACTGTCTTTGATCATAAGACCATGACCAAAAGAAACTCAACCCAAAATAAAGTCCAGTTTGCTATTCTGCCCTTGTAATCTGTCTAGTTTTCTCAATTCTTCCCCCTTTCAAAAGTGTCAGCAATGTTATTTTAAAACATAAGATGTTAACTATTCATTCACCTTCTGGTTAAGCATGTGGCTTGACACAGAAAATATTAAATTTTAGAGGAAAATAAATGAACTTACAAGTTAAATAATTTGCCAAAAGCCATGCAGACAATGTGGCAAAGCACAATTAGACCTATTTTAAAACGTCAAACATTGTACTTTAAGCATACAGTAATTTTTTGGAAAAGAGAACAAAACTTTTCCTTGCAGACTTTTTGTTAATATGTAAGCTATGATAACACAAATACACATAGTAACACTAGACTGCTCGTGTAACATTACACATAATTTGATAGCAACATTGAGTCATCTGCATGCAGTTATTTTCAATGAATACAATCTCATCAATAGTCTGCACCCCAGCTCCAAAACCCGAAGTTCTTATACTGTAAATTTGATGTTCATTTTGAAATGATTCTTTAATACAGAAGTTTCCCATATTTGCAAATGACATGTTATTTTATGTATCGGCTTCAGCAGATATGTATAAAATTGTATTTACTACATCTCTAGATGCGTTTTTTACTGTTATATTAAAAACAAGCCTTGTGCAAATAAATTTTTAAAGAAAGGGTTGTTTTTCCTCATTTTATGTAGACACAACTACAACCACAGACATGCTAAAAGGCGTCTGAAAACTCTAGGTTTAAACCTTCAGCCAGACAGCCAAACAGCCACGCTGCACATTTGAACGCGCTCACAGTGATCTCTTGGGCGATGACGTCAAAGTACACCTCTCTGGTTCATTTCTTTTTATTTCGCAAGTGTTGACGTGAAAACACAAATATAGTCTTAATTCAATGTACACAAAAAGCAGACGACTCCTGGAGACATCCCTGGAGATGTTCAAGGCCAGGTTGGACGAGGCCCTGAGCAACCTGATCTAGTCGGAGATATCCCTGTTCCTTGCAGGGGGGTTGGACTAGATGACCTTTGAAGGTCCCTTCCAGCCCTAACCATTCTATGATTCTGTGACTCAATTCACAAACGCCCTTTGTATTTCATCCATTTCACGACTGACACCTCAGACACCAGTTTGGAAACCGAATCCCACCAACTCACGAAATTAAGTCCCGCAGAGCCTAAATGAGGTTTTTGCTGCCTCGGCACCCAGCGAACGTTTCAAAACTACTGTAGGTCACACCACGGACCGAAACTCATTCGCTAACTGAAAAAAAAAACCTGTCTGCTCAACACCGCACCGCTACGCCATGCCGGTGACGGCAGCGAGGCTGCCCCCGTCTAATCTCTGACGTCAGCACACGTATTCCTCCCCGGACGGCGGAAGACACCGGCTGGCG